GCTGGAACACAGGGGTGGAAGTATTTAGCACTGCAGAGATCCATTTGCAAAACAGAGCTGCATACTTCTGTTTCCCTTCCTAACAGCACCCAGAAAGCAGCCTCTGCCTTCCCTTCCCATCCCTGTGGGCACCTACATTTGCAGTTAGCACTTGGAAAATTTCGAATTGGAAAGCCCATGCACAGTTTGAGAAGGGGCTGACATCTATTCATACTTAAATGCTAGTTTTTGATACCATTAGCAACAGTTATTTTGAATTTTACATATATATACCTTTATTTTAGAGTTTTCCAGTTCCTCTTTCAGCAGCAATCTCTCCTTTTCCCATTCTTCCAAGGAACACTTTCCTGCTTCCCTTTCCTTTTGCTTGAGCACCTTTGCCAGCTGTTGATTGAGATCCTGCACATCCGCCTGGTTTTTGGAATTCCTCTGGCTAAGCTCTGTATTTTCCGAATCCAGCTGCTGGTTCCTTGTTTTCAGATCCACTACCTGGATTCAGACAGCAGGGGCAGTTATGAGCACTTTCCCACCAAGTCCTTTTACAGATTTTAAGCATTTCAATTAAAGCAATTAAGAAGAAATACACTGGCCAGAGTCATTAGGGTTTGATACCTGGCCAAGGAGGCCCACATTAACTATATTCCACGTGGAAGCTGCATGCCTAGCAGCCTCCATTGCTTTTCTTGCCTATTCCACTTGCTCCATGCCCCATTTTTAAGGCAAATCAAGCAGTACCACGTCCAAGAGTAGGAGGCTCTTATGCTGCATGCATAAAGGCAGCCTCAAATCATTTGCTCCATGCCCCATTTTTAAGTCAAATCAAGCAGTATCATATCCAAAAGCAGGAGGAGGCATGCTGCATGCATAAAGGCAGCCTCAAACTGTCAGATTCTCAGGATTAGCCTCAATTATAGCAGTTATGGTATCAGTCATGCAGCACATCCCTCAGGTCCTGCTCCCCTTTGCTGTGCTGTGTATAGCTTGAGGGTTATCCTGGTGAACCAGTAGATTATTCTGAGCGAGTACAATCTCACTAGCTGTTACTAAAATACAAATATGAGCATAAGAGTAGCTTAAATCTGCTATTATTTGCCTAGCACAAAACTCCCCTAAAAGAAGGACGGTAAAATATGGATAAGTGCAAAGGATCCGGCAGCATTCCTAGACCAACTAACTGGGGAGTAAGAGAAGGCTGAGTCACAACCTCTATTTCCCATGGGCTACTGCAGAGCATTACCTAGAAAGATTACAAAGGAAAGATTTTAATATTTCCATTAAGTATAATTCTCAAGTTCACAAAGGAAATGCTCTCGAGTCTGCAAGCTCAATGGTTACAGTAGCACTGATATTCGAATCAGGTCAGAAAGCCTCATATCCACCCAAACCACTTACTGAGAACGTACAGTTATGGCCAAGGTGTTTGAACAAATAATTATCATTTTATGCCACCTTTGCTGCATGAAAAGCTTTATCTGGTCACAAAGATTGCTACAGAGAATATTACAGATTCAGTCTATATACCTGCTTTTTCAGGTTGTCAACCATCTTCTGTACAGCCACTTTCTCCTTTCTTACTGCCTCTATTTTTTGCCTAAGAAAAAGGGAAAGCTTATTAACATTAGCAAAGCTAATTACCAAAGCACATTATTAGTATACACAAGCAGCAAGAACGGGCTGCTTTTTGACATCTCATCAGTACAACTGGTCCTTCTGGAAATTTTAATTTTGAGGATTTTTTTTTTTGCTTAGCATCACCATTTTACGTAGGCTTCGTGAGCACTCACTTTTTAGAGGTATCCATGTATTTCTTTTACTAGAGGGCTAAGATCATGGCGAAAGACACTGCAGAAGCCCAGATCCCTGCAGCATGCCCAGCCTTTTCCAAGGATAACGTGCCTAGCAAGCTCTGCCTTTGCTGAAGTGACCATAGGAATCACCTTAACTCTGCTCACAGGTAGGTCCATGTTGCTGCCAGGTCAGTCATGTATGTGATATATGGGCATTGGACCTCCTATCGATTAAGTCCCTGCTTTAGATCTAGGAATGGGCAGAATAAGCCAAAGCAAGTCAAAAAAACCCAAAGACCAGCCTGGAAGCTGGCTGGATCCCTGATGGCACCAGGAGATGATTCTGTTCCAAGTTCTGTGCGATATCTAGCAAACAAGAGCTTTGAGCAGGGCTGCAACTACCCAGTCTGACGGCAAAGGAAGCCCAAATCCCACGCACGATCCGTGCCCCACGCAGCTCTTACCGCATTTCTTCTCGCGACCCGCTCAGCTCCCGCAGTTTCAGGTTGGAAGCGCTGCCTTCCTCATTTAATAAAGTCACCTCGTTTTTCAGCAGGGCATTTTCTTCTCTCAGCTTCTCAGCTTCACACCTGTGGCAGGAAGGAGACAACTGAAAACCATTGCTGTCTTGGGCCCGCAGGGAGAAGAGTTGCAAAAAAAGTCAAATGACCTGTGATGATCTAAAAACAGAGCTACTCCTAAGTAATTCTGGACATCAACTGCATATGGATTTTACATTTCACTTAGAGTACCTCTCAGACCATGGAAAAGGGCCTTTCTGCTTGCCTCAAAAAGCTGCACCAAGTTAATTAAAAAATAAGATACTTGGTAAAAGTCTAAAGCTTTAATATTCCACCACGCCTTTTACTCCCTAGATTACAGGCAACAGACATAATTTTTTAAGCAGCTTAACCACCCAATATGCAAAGTGCTACAACATGAGCACTTTCCCTGGCTGTTTCAGGAGTCCAAGCTGGGGATCCCAGCATGGAAACAGCAGAATTCAAAAATCCCTTTTCTTCCCCAAGGTAGAGAAATAATTTAGGCATGGTGTAATTCTTGAGAACAAACTCTTACAGGAAGCCGCTGTTGAACAAAATTAGTCATTTCCAACCACTTTACAGTCTTCAAGAAACACTTACTGAAACCCTGCAGTTAAGAGCACAGGTAATCTATTATATTCTGCTTGCTGTAATGGTATTTACCATATTACACATTATAATGGATTCCTAGCACTAAGTGCTCCTCCTACTAGGAAAAAAAAATACTCATTTCCTAGCCTTAACTTGAACATCTAGAAAACTGAGGCGCTTTCAACATTCCAAGCTAACATTCAGCACTATAAGGCAACAGAAGGCAAAGGCAATATTAGTATGAAGATTAAAAGCACTCAGCTTTCAACATTCCAAGTTATCAAGACAACAGAAGGCAAAGGTAATATTAGTATGAAGATTAAAAGCACTCTGGAAGTGTTATGTTATATATGCGATGTGTAATTTAGGTCTCCAATTTACCATCGGCTACGCATGGCAAGGATGACTGTCCACAGCACAACTCAACGAGCTGCTCTTCTTTTGCTATCGCTCCCATTCGAGCGCGTTCCCAGACGAGCGGCACGCGCGTATCCGCCTCTCCGCATCCTCCTCGCGAGCGGTTAGGATCCAAGGCACCGTTTTCTACTCAAAGCTAAACTACTCGGTCACGCAGCACGGAAGGCAGTAGAAGTTAAAGCCATGGGGATTGCTAGGTTAGTTTCTAAGCGGTGCAAGCGGCGAGGTGGATTAACGGGGGCCGTCACGTCCCCCCGGAGGCCCAGCGTACTTTACCTCAACAGATCCACCTTGTGCTGCAGCTCGCTGCAGGTGCTTTGCAAGCCGTGCGTCACGCTGCTCCGCTCCTCTGTCCCTTGGCCAGGCCGCGTGGCATTTTGGCTACCCAGAGCTGCAGCTTTCAGCTTTCTGTTGAGCTCCTGCTGCTCCTTCTTCTCCCCGGAGCTCTCTTGCACGGGGGTATCACGTTGGCCACGCTTGTCTTGCAAGTCAGTGCAAGCCCTCGGTGTCACTGAGGGCTCTTCCACCTTCCCAAACTGGCATTGGGGTCTTAGCTTCTCACCAGACGCCTCTGTTTTCCCCTGTGCATATTGATCTTGGATGTCTTCCAATTCTTCAGCTTTCCTGAGGGGCTGGCCTTTTTCCTCTATGAGTTCAATCGTTTCCAGGTCACTTTCTTCCAGCTTGCAATGAAGGCTTCTCAGCTCTTGTAAGTCGCCTTCTAGTGCTTTATTTTTTTCCATCAACTCTCCCAGTTTAGACTTCAGCCCTTCATTTTCCACCTGGATTTCTTCCTGTAAAGACAGAAGCTTAGCTTGGGCTACTGATCTTTCTTCTAACTCTTCAATCCTCTTCCAAAACTGAGGTATTAGGTTTTTCAGGTCACCCTTCTCCTTGGCTAGTGCAGAAACCTGCTCCAGCTGCAGAGAAGCACCAGTCAGTTCTTCAGCCTCTTCAAGCTCAGTCTGCAGCTTAGAAGCATCCAGAAAAAAGCCTTTGTTTTTGGTTGCTATTCTGTTATTCACCAGATGCGTGTTCTGCCTGATATCATGGGGTAAGAGCTTTAGTCGGGGAACTCTTGAAAGGGTTCTCTCAAGATCCCTCAGCTTCTTTTGTGCCAGGGGCACTAGAGAAATCAGCTCTTGCATCTTCTCCGACTCGTGGCTACAAGCAGCATCCAGGACCATCGAACTTCCCGGCGCGTTAGCCCCCGGCAATGGGCAGACATCCGAGTCCGCTCCCTTATCCGTGTCACTGGACAGCCCTTCCGCAAGGGGATCGAGCGCGTCCCGCGCCTGGGACCGCTCCGAGCTGCAGCCTGACGATCTCTGAGGCCATTCGCACGTTTTCCTTCACGGCTTGCTCGTGCACTTTCTGCAGGCTCCTGAGAACGTCTGCGTCATCTCCTGGATGCTCCATAGCAGAGAAGGAAGCGATTTTTCTTTTGGCTTTTGCATACTCACTTTCCAATACCCTGTAATGATTTTGCAGCATAGAAAAGTTGACGGCTTCCCACTGCAACTTCTGTATTTTCTCTTGAAGATCTGAGATTTCCAAGTTCATCTCTGCCTTCTCTCTTTCTGCCCTTGCACGGAGGTCATTGTTTAAGCTCTCTAAAGCAAGAAGTTTGGAGTTGAGTTCTTCTTTCTCCTGCTTATGCTCCCTGTCGAGCCTCTCCAGCTCCTGGCTGGCCAGCCTCCTGTCCTCCTCCATCACAGACATACACTCCTCCTTGCTCTTCAGCTCTTTCTCGTGGTCACTTTGGAGTTGCAATATTTTCTCATTCAACTCAATCTCCTGCTTTTCGGTAGCATTTCTCAGCTCTTGCAGCTCTTTCTGAAGCTGTTCCTTTTCACACACCAGCTTGTTCACTTCCTCCTTCAAGCTTTTCTCCAGGAGCTCCTTCTCCTGGCTTAGAGCAAGAGAAAGGGCCTTCTCATTTGCCAGCCTTTCCTTCAGTTGCTCTTGGCTTTCAGCAACCTCCTGGAAAATCTCATCCTTCTCAAACTCCCACTGAGATCTTTCTTCTCTCTGCTGCTCGGCAAGCTCATGCAACTCCCGTTGGTAGCGGCCTTCCAGATTTTGGATCGTTTCTTCATATTTATTTGCAAGCGTTTGTGTGTTGACAGAAAACTCAGTTTCTGCATGAGATGCTCTTCTGTTATAGTCACTTTCCATTTTTTTCCTAAACACGGTTAACATAATAATATTACTAAACCCTAGGTTCACTCAGAGAAAGATTCAAATGGCTGTCTAAGCTACTTAAGAAAACATTTTCACAGAGTTTTAGGTAAACCTGTCAAATAGCTCTTCTGAGAGCCAAAATTAAATCTAAGACAATCTGTTGAAACGTCAAAAAAATAAAAACTTAATTGCCTTGAAATGTGTGCAACTTGCGAAGTGTCCTTAGAAATAGTTTCTTATACAATATATGCCCTTCTAGACTGGTAATGGGATTTATGGAGGTAGAGGTTCTCCTCCTTGAAGGGTCTCAATTGCTTTGGTACCATGTTCTAGCCAAATGTGTTCATCTTTCACCCATTTACATCTTTGGTAAGAAAAGCGTTTGGATTTCTACATTTGTTAAGCACAAAGGATTGTGCTGCACAGGGATATTGAACAGAGCTCGCATCAGCCATAGCTGCTTATGCTCTAGCAGTATCGCTCCCTCTGGGCGAGTTAAAAATCAATATAAATATCTGCTTGGGAAAGGTCAAGATGAAAAAGCCTCTGGATACCTGCCTGGTGTGCTGGGATAAAGCCGGTAATGGCACCGTGGAGCTACTGCCCTGGAATCCAGAATCTGGAGTCATTTCTGCACTAGCTTGGCCTTGCTCAACACAGCGAGCAACGGAGGCCTGGCAAGCTCACTGCACTCACCTTTCCTCCTCCAGCTCCTGCTTGTGCCTCCTCAGCAGCTCCTGCTGCAGCTCCTCTTTCTCCAGGACGTGCATTTCCGTCACCCTCTTCAGCTGCTCCTGGAAGCCACGTTCCAGCTCTCCCTTCTCTTCCTGCAGAGTCTGCACCAAAACCCTCATCTTTTCCTCCATCCAGGCACCCTTTTGAATCAGTTCTTCCCGTTCTCGGCTAAATCTCTCGGTTGCCTCCTCCAGCTTAACTCGAACGTCTGCTTCGTGTTCCTGCCTGAGTAGTTCTTGCAGATTAGCTTTTTCCTCATTGAAGCTCATTTGCAACCTGTTTTTCTCATCGTTATGGTCACAGCCAAGCTGCTCTTGCTGTTTGCGGAGCGCTGCTGCTTCTCCCTGCAGTTCTGCAATTTGGCTTTTAAGGCCAGTTATTTGCTTTTCCATGACATGCATCTCTTCAGAGCACTTTTTCCTCATGTCTTCTTGCTCCTTTTCACAGTGGATTTTTGTCTCATTTAGTTGCTTTTCATAATGGCTCACCTAGAAGAAGGGAAATCATTCATTTTCTACAAAATATATAAAGATTTTCTACAGAGTTATACATAACCTGTTCTACAGAAGTGTTCTCTCTATGCCTTTCTTGATACTTTATAGAATATTTTTGATTCACACATTAGCATCATCTTACACTTGGCTTTCCCTGCAAAGAATGCTGATGCACGTGAATGCTCAGCTTAATTTTTTACTGAAGTAAAAATGATTTTTGCATACAAAGCAGTGAAATTCATGCTTACCCATTAAGGAAATACGGGACAGCAGAGAGAAGCCAGGAACAATTTAAGTCCTGATTAGCTTCACAACTTGCCAGGGTGGGCACTGGTGTGACAGAAATGAGGAGAGCCCGAAAGGGGCCTCTGCTCCTGGTGCGGAGCTGACCCGCACAGAACAAGCCCGGGCACCTCTCTAGCAGCACCCGTGACTGCTGGGAAAGCAGCCTCATTTGCTAGAAAAACGGTAATTTTGGGGTTGGAGGTCCCATGCTAAGCAAGCCAGCCCTCCAGGGCTGCATGCAGTGGGACACTCGCCCTGCGCAGGGACAGACTTTGCAGGCGCTGCTCCCAAAACCTGGATTTGCAGCCAGCAGAGCACATACGCCCCGAGCTGCCCCGGCCTCGTAAGCCCATTTTGATCCACCTCCAGCTGGGTATTTTGGTACGCGCAGCAAGATCAACCCCAGAGCCACGAGATCCCCACGCAGAAGGTGGGGAACTGACCACGCGTCTTCACCAGGACGGGTGTTGCCCCAACAGCATTTCCAGCAGTCCAGATCTGTGCTGTCCAGCAGCACAGACCTCATTTCAACACCACCAACGTTGCGCTCACCGGCACCAACTCCCGCTGGCAGCTTTTCCATCCCACGGCTATTCCAAACCCGTGCGAACGGAGTGACTAATGGAGCACGCCAGGCTTTTAGGACAGGAAACACAATCCCAGGTCTCTCGGACTCGCTCCTCTTTCATTAGCTGGCGGCAGATAGAGCACAGCATTCGCCCAGCCCCATGCAGAGGAGCGGGGAAGGTGCCGACTGCCCCAGGCTCACCAAAACACAAAGCCAGGCCCTTTTCCCAAGGGCATCCCGCTCGTGGGAAGAGGCTGCAAGGGTTGCGGAGCTTGGTGCCAAGTTCAAACAACTTACAGTCTCTTCGAGCTCCTGCTTGAGGTGACATACGTCCCGGTGATGCTGCTCCTTCATTTGCTCAATAACCATTTCTGCTTCTATGCTCATGTTGAGTGGATTGCAGTCCTCTGATCCAAGTCCTTAGAAAATAATTATATATGCTCTTGAAATCTGAAGAGCTACAACTACAACCGAATTATTTCATCACTTTATTTTTGTTTAGGCAGCTCCTACAGCTCTCAAATTCCATTGGCACATACCTAAGTAGAAACTATAAACACTAATTTTGGCCTTAATTATATTACAGCAGCCACACTCTACCTGGTATTAAACAGCAAAATGGAGGTGTTGTTGAAGGAGTCTCACTATGAAAGTTTTGGAAAGTTTACCTAATTGTACCCAAAACATATATATCCAAATAAATATCCATAGATGGATGTTTCCCCTATAGGAAACAAGCTTTACCTTGGTCAGGCTCAATGCCGCTATTACCATGGCTTTTAATATCCATGTCGAACTCCTCGGACAGCGAGTTCCGCAGAGGGGGCCTGAAGCCTTTGCCTTGAGCGCGGAACTCCTCCAGCTCGGACTGCAGCTCGTCTATTTGGTCCTGCAGCTCCTGCGGGAGGGAAAAGAGGCGCCCGGATGGGAAAAACCCGGGCACGTGCGCGCCGGCGACGAGGCGCTCCGAGGGCATCGCTGCGGGGAAAGCCTCCGCAATAACATTTTAGCACCCGCACAACAACATCCTTCTCCAGGTTCCCACCCGTGCAAGGGGCACAGATGTGTCTGCTCGCCAAAACAGCAGAATGGTATCATATTTTAGCATATATTTTGCATTTGAAGCATACCATGCTCCAGCACCTCTCACTATATCCTTTCTCCCGCTGTCTTTTTATAGGCAGCAGCTTAGGAACATTTTGAACATATCTGAGAAACACCTCAAACACCTTTCTACTTATATAAAATAAATCAAATCAACAGCAAGAGATTGATTTGGGAAAGAGGTACCCTCATTACTGTGATCTGCCATCTGGCACTTCTGCCCATTGCCAAGGAGAATATCCCAAGTGCCTGTGCCAAATGTGATGTACCGAGTTCAATGAACAGTGTTTACTAAGGAAAATGAATCCATGAATTTGTAAACACAGTTTGGCAGATTGGGAGGGTTCAAGGAAAAAAAACCTTCAGGATTGAATCATATCTGCCAATACTCACAAAAATGCAGTTGCATTTTCAAGCAAATTCTTATTCAGGTGTATGAAACTCAACAACTAGTTTTAGAAAAAGTCTTTGGTCTTTAACTGCAGCTTCTTGGCAGAGCTGCTGTGTTGCATTACATGCAATGATTTGTCAAGATAGTCCTTTTCCAAGTAGAAAGGATAACGCAGAATAGATGAGCTGGATGCATACGACGCGCAACCATATCGGCATCAGGAAAGAGATACATAGGTAGGTACTTGTAGGGCTACGTTAGAGTACTTGGCTGCGCAGGATTCGGGAGGAGCAGAAGACAAGCTTGAAGTTTTTAAGCTTTATTTCCCTAAAACGCTGCTGTTCTAGAAACCACCACCTGTGCATCATATTTCTGCTGTTACCCTCTTACATCTTTGACTCCAAACTAGGGCAAAGCTATTTCACAAGCAGGAAAACAGCTCGTGCATAACTATATATTAAGTAAGTTAACGTAGCATCTGTTAATCAAAGGAGGCTCCATAAGTCCTGTGTCCCAGACCACCCTCAAGGCACCTCAGCCCTCAGCTCAGGCATTTGCCTCTGCAGAAAGGGCTTTCTCCATCCAAAGCTTGGGTTAAAGCAAGAAAGAGCCATCGGGCAGGGGCAAAACAGCAGCAGTGCCCGCGTGCACGGGCTGTTGTTTGCAGCAGGAACGTTTGCAGCAAACCCCGGTGCGCTGGGCTGCTCACCCGGCACTGCAGCTCGTACTCGCTCTTCATCTGCGCCAGCCGCTCCTCCTGCAGAAAGAACTCGGCGCTGCTGGGGTCCAGGTCGCCAAACTGGAAAGCAGGAAAACAGCCCAGTTACTCCTCCAAATATCCCAGGCTTGCAGCCACAATGCAACTCTACAGCAATCTTGCAGCAAATGCAATGCAAGTCAATGCAAACAATGCAAATCTACAGCAATCTTCTCCCTCTTTCCTCTATTTGTTTTAAATTATTTTTTAAATACAGAAGTTCTGCTGACCTTCTGGTGGGGGCAACAGCTTTCCTACCAAATACTATCTGTTTTTTTCCCACCACAGTTCTCATGCTAGCTATTAAGTTTGATTCCATACGACACCTTTCTAATTTAAGGCAAGGAACTGCAGTTTGTTGAACAATTCCAACCTTAAAGAAATCTGGAAAACAGGTATTGGGCAAGAGCCCCAGGATGTGCACATTTGCCCAGAGATGCACAAACCCAGAAATGCCGTTTCAGAAGCTGATATTTGGAACAGTTTATCATAACCCCACCAAGCTCAGTGCCTCCAGAGCCGCCTCCTCTGGAGGGGGCACCTGGAATGGAGCAATTCCAAAGAGGTTTAACTGCGAGTCCATAAGGGAGAAGAGGGATTTACCTTCTCCGCCAGGACATTTTCCAAGTTCCGCTGCAGTTTGCTCGCTAGACTTTCGTACTCGGCCAGTTTTTCTCCAGTTTCCAAGAGCTCGTTTTCCAAACGGCTGTTCTCCTGCATGAAACCAAACCCACCTCACCATTTACTGCTGTGTTCCTTTTCAAAGTGATAACTCATAGCAACAGTCTCCTGATCTAGTCAGGACATTAAAACTTTCCGCTAGTGATAAGAACTGTGATTTTTTTTTCTATTCTCCATGCAAAGGCCATTCCTCTTGGGACATTAAAACAAGATGCATGAAGCTCAGGCTTGCAGCCTCCACAGCATGCACTAGCTGCATCCTGCACCAAGTCCTGTGCCTCCTCAGTCTTCAAATCACTGCTTCAGAAAGAATATTTCTGTTTTCCTAGCACTCATGGGATGTCCAATGCCTTTAAAAACTGCGCTCCTGAGCATCTTTAAAAGGTACATGGCCTCCCGCTATTAGGACTTCTGGGATTGTTTAAAACAACACTGTTACCTCCATCTTTTGAAGAGAGCAAAAGTTAAGATAAGGCAGCTGTCACCTTCAAAAGAGTCATTAGGCAGCAGGCCACTTTAGAAAGCAGTCTTGCTTTAGAGATGTTTAAGACAGTGCTTTAAACTCTGCCAAGATGTGTTATGTTCTAGCATTGCTGCCAAGGCAAACCATCCCTCCAAGAGCTGTATCCATGCATACACTGCACACGACAGCAATGGAAACCCCAAGGAATAACCTAGCGAGGCGATCCCAAAAATCTCTTACAGATACACCTCTACCTTGCAGCTAACATTACTTTCAACAAGCACAAGGTGCAGTAACAGATTGCCTCAACAAGCACTAAATTGCAAGTGCTGCTCCCCACTCCTTGGCATCCCAGTCTTTTAGGGGAAAATCCCATTTGCGTTTAGTCCCGGTACCTTCATGGAAAGGGTGAGGCGGTCACGGACGTAGTTCTCCTCCGTTTTCAGCTTTTCAATCTCCTGCTCCAGCTCCAGACGCTGCTTATTGGCCTGCTGCAGGATTTGCTCCCGCTCTTTCCGCAGCTCGTTCTTTAGAGCCGCGACTCGGTCTTTGTACTCCTCATCCAGCTTCCTAGGGAGGCATCAAAGGTAAGAAAAGCCCATGAAAAGAAGCAGGCGGCAAATACCTCTGTGAATTAAGCTCCGTGGCGGCGGTCAGCGCGTGCAAAGCTGTCTGCTATCAGCACTGGCACTTGGCAGGCTGAAAAGACCTCTTGGGAGAAATGCAGCAATGCTCGGATTAGTGGCACAGATCAGCCATGTGCTGCTTGGGGAGTTTTAGCTATACAACCCGCTCTGGTAAGAGATGCTGTTTTAGGATGAAACCTGCTTTTTCCGCCAGCAGCGTAATTAATATTTTCAATTTCACAGCAGCACCCCCACCTCCTAACTGGGAAGGCAAAGTGAATGCAAGGACACCGAGGGGAGCAGAGCAAGGGCTGAGATGCTGCAAGAGAGATGGAAACTGGGCCTGGGTGGCCCTGGGACCTGCAGGTCAAATCTGGCAAGTGGGGCAAGCACAGAATGGCTTTAAATTGGCCAAACATACTCCAAACCAAGGACAGGCTCCAAACAGCTTTCAGCTAGGCTGCAAATACTCACAAGCACGTGCTTCGCCCCCAGTCCCATCCCATGCACCGCGCACCGGCTCGCGGCATCGCTGCCTACCTGAGGTTGTACTCGTTCCGGCGCTCTATGGCAGCGTGGTGGTCGTCCACCTCAGAGGCCATGAGGGATTTCAGCTTTTCTGCCTTTTCCAGGTCCGAGCGCAGCTTCTCCTTCTCTCTGGCCACTTGGTCGACCCGCTCCCTAGGGTAAGTGCAACCCCGTTAGCTCGTCTTGCCCAGCTCCCCCGGACCCAACGCTGCTGCCCACAGGAGGCTCAGCACAGAGCAGCGTCTCTGGGGGTGATTCCTCATGAGCTGTGTTCAGTCATGAGCTGTGAACTTGCACGTGCTTCTCCTTTCTGACCTGCCTCGATACCCCCCTACATCTTGAGTGCTCAGCGTCTCCCTCATTCACTTGCCCTCATCGTTTTGTTACCTTTGCCACTTCTATCCTCACACTGCAACCAATTCGCTTTTAAATGCAAGCTCATAAGGCAGCTTTCTTCATCTTCAATCTATGTGCATTAAGAGTTGCTCAGACAGAGACCTAAAGAGCCCCCAAAAATCTCTCCTGGGACCTCTTGCAAAGAAGCACAAATGATAAAAGGAGATGCAGAGCATTTTAGTAACTCTCAAACACATCCCCATCACATGCTACCGGAGCAAGAAAGCTTTTAGCGTTCAGGGTACTGCTCAAACCAGCCTCCGTCATAGCAGATTTACCTTCCTCAGCCATTAATGACCATTTCCAGACAGGAAAACAGGGCTAGAAACAGCCCGCTGCTTTGATTTGTTTTTGTATTCATATTTTCCTGGGATAGCTGGCTTTTTCCTGGTGTTTTCACTGTGCAAAATGAAATAATGAAGAGTTCACAGTTTCCAACCAAGAAAAATCCAAAGCTAGAAACTCGCCATGCAGCTGCAGCCTTTGCCTGGGCCCCACTGAAACCATCACAAATCACAATTAATCAGCAGCTCCTTAAGCTCCCGCTTGGCAAAACCTCTAGGAGGGCAGTGAGGAAGCAACGTTGATGGGAATTCTGACAACTTACAGCAAATGTCTTATCTCTGTCTTGAAGCTTGCCAGTGCTGCTTGATAAATCCCATTCTTGGTCATCAAGAGCTCATTTTCCAGAGCCAGCGTCAGCTCCGTCAGGTTCACCTTCCCATCCAAGCTGAAATCCAGAGCCTGTAAAAGAGTGAGTCATGGCAACAGTGCAACCTTTATGTCTGCAGGGCCTGAGGGCATTGGAACCTTAAAATAAGAGAATAGGCAAAGAGGCTCCAGAAGGATCTGGGCTTGCTGATGGATCTGCCATGGGCAGATTTGGGGCCCATGCACATCCTCTCTGCTGCCTCTCTGCATTAGAGAGCCCCTTCCAGCTACAGAGATGGAAAACACTATTCCCATAGTGCAAGACTAGCAGGGAAGAAAGGCTAATATATTAAAGTATTAACTGTGGAGTGAGCTCAACTGGCCTTTGGAAAGGCCAAGGTGCTGCAAGGAGGCGACTGAAAACGACTGAGTTAAACATATGCAAGTTTTGTAATACAGGCAGTGCAGAACTCTCATAGGAGGTAGCTCAGAGTAAAGATCTCACCACCTTTAGAATAAAGACACACACACAAAAAAAGAAAATTCTTATTTTGGTGACTCTGATGGCAATTTCCTTCAAAGCCCAACTCAGCATGGCACAAAACAGACCCCACCTGAGCTGGGGGTCTAACCCGAGGGCTCCACACACTACCAAACACACAGTACTGATAACAGAGCAGGCAAAGCTGCCACTAGAGCCACCAACACGAGGTAAGTTAAGGCACACCATGAGACTCATGTTAAAATAAACCCAGGATATCAAACCTGACTGCATGAGCCCAAAATACAAGTATATTTTATTGCCTAAGAGCAATGAATTTTGCATTGAGTGTTTATGGCAGTCTCAACACCCAAAATGCACATGGCCATCAGGTGACAAGAAAAATAAGTCATTACCATTGCTGGTATCCCTGAGAAGCCCTGAGAATAGACACGTTAAATGGTCCTTTAGCTTGACCACAGCTTACAGGGAGGCAGGTGGAAAAGTGGTTCTCTTCAAATAGTAGTACACCCCATTTGCAGTGTTATGCTGTTACTCTATAATAAAACTATATTACACTAATATCTGGGCAGGTTTAAATCCAGGCCCCACTTCAGTACACGCAATAATTCAGATCAGTACTAGGTTTGCAAGAGCATCTATTGAGCAAGGTGAAGGAATTAAATTACTTTCTATAAATATAGGTGACCTCCACATGCCATGCTGCAAGTCGCATTAGATTTTTATCAGAAATTTTTAGCTCTCTGGGATGCATCATCATTTCCATAATGGAAACTGGAAGCTCCCAAGAACAGCTACACTCCCGCTGGGAATTTCAGAGGGGAACTAAAAACCAAACTCAACTCCCAGCTGCAACCCAGAAGGCCGCAAAAAGAAAGAAGCATCAGAGCAATGGCCAGGCTGAGCTACCTTGAGGATGTCCTGGCTGTTCTCGATGCCCTCCTCGTGCCACGTGTCCAGGATGCCCTCCACGCAGGCGTAGCCCATGCCGTCGTCCAGGCTGGAGAAGACGCGGAAGCCGGTGGTGCCGCTCATGGCCGGCGCCGTCGTGCGCCGCCCGCTCTCGTCGAAGGACTGCGGGAGAGGGCACAGCATGCACAGCGTCCCCAGCAGCATTAAGGGTTAAGGTCCTCTTTTCCCTCGCAGCCATGCAAGTAGTGGTGGGAGCACTGCTGCTGACCGTGATAGAGCCACCAGGCACTTTGGATTTAAAATAAATCCAAGGAGGAGCCATTTTGGAGCTGTCTTGACACCAGTCAGGTGTTTTCCCCTGCTCAGCTACAAGCGTGGGATATTTTGGTTTTTAAAGCATCGCCTGCAGCAGCAGGCCCACACAGGAGCATCCTTCCCACCTGCACGCCAGCTGCAGCGGTCCCCGACAGCCCAGCTTTCCTTTGAGAAAAAAAGCTAATGCTGGCAGAGAGGCTGCTTTTATGGGCTAAGGTGCATAAATCCAGAGCAGATGGGTGACCTCGAGTGCCAGCAGATGCTCAGCAGCACTTGGGAAGGAGGCTGGCCGCACTCCGAAGCATTTGGACCTATTTCAGTGTCTATTAACCAGCAGACTGGCTTGCATTCATCAAGGAGCTGCAAGAGCGATGCTTTGTAATGCTAGCATGATGCGACAGAATTGAGACAGGACTGAAAAGGAAAAAAAAACTGTTGGAAAACTTGGGTTGTCACCCATTACTTAAAGCTTATTCAGTCCAGCACATCTCTGAGCTCTCGGCCTCACAAGAGCCACGGGCTGCTCTGCTCAGCACTTGCCACGTGCTGGTCCCAGAAAGCTCCTCACCTGCATGGAGAGGTGTCTCTTGAGCTGCCTGTACGGGGTCGAGGCCGAGGGTGCGAGCGACCTGCCGTTCCCAAACAGGCTGTAGAAGAAGTCTTCCACGCTCATGGTGCCGTCCTGCTCCAGGTTGTGGAACACCTCCTCGAGCACCTGGAAGCAGCCGGGGGGGAAAAAGGCACATCTGGGGCAGCCGAATAGCAGCCACCGCCGCAGCCTAGTGATTAGGGTTGGCAAGGCTCGGCTCTCTAGGTCTTCATGAAGGAAGAAACGCAGTAAAGCAAATAGATGCAAAGAACTGGTGCAGAGACTGCAGCATCCCAGCACCAGGAGAGCAAGCAGCTGGAGACGATGCCAGCCGATTGCATCATCTGTTTATATAGATAAATATAAAGAAAACTGCAGAGCCGCCTGCACTCCCCAGCCTTGCGTGTGCGGACACGCCAGCTCCCGGCTCCGGGAGCAGCTCTGGGAGCAGCTCTGATTTTTTTTTTTAATTAAAGGAAGGATTTCTCTGGGATCTCCAGCCCAGGTGGCCTCGGGAATTCAGCACTTGTCAGTGCACGAAAAGCACTAAAAACACAGCGGTTTGTGCAGCGACTGAACCAAACACAGCATCACCACTAGGTTACAGTAAATGCGCTCAACTTCAGGGTTATTTTTTTTTTTAATTAAAGGAAGGAGCCAAGCCAACCAGGATTAGATCTATTAATCCCTTCCTGTTCCTTTGTCTTTAGTTTCCTTTTTTGTTGTTGTTATTCTTTAATTTTCAATCCCCCTTGTAACATACTGAAAATATTTTGCTGCAAGTGCTGAAAAAAGATAACCCCCTCAGAAACAAACTTTAGGAAAAAAAGAACATTTAAAAATATTATTCTAAGATGCAAAGCAATCTTTTCTCCTACCAAACTGAATCTTAAATTGACAAGAGAACATTCTGTTAAAAATTTACCCGCAGACTCTTTCTGGATCATAGAAATAGCCCTGAGGCCTTTACAAACAAAGTCAAAGTAACTGCCTGTGAATATTTTAATAGATACCTGCTTCCTACAGCATTCCTGGGATCAAGGAGACACGCTGAGAATCTGATGCATTTTTAAGCAGCAGTTGGCTCAGCAGAGGACACTCGCCCAGTACGGGGCCAGGAAGTCACCAGGAAGGCCGGTGACTGCCTTTATCCAAGCAGGATTGCCCATTTGATGGTTGAAAGCCAATAAAGTCTTTGGAAAGCCACAAATCTGCTCTCCAAAGAGTGGAAATCCTGCTAATCAGCACTTGCTTTTTAGGCTTATGGGCAACAGCACGATGCATTTCACCGGGTGCATAAAATGCAGGATGATGCAGGGATGCCCGCGGGGTTTGGGCAGCCCCGGGCGCCCTCCCGGCAGCGGCGCTCACCTCCCCGTCCACGTTTTGCAGGCCGTACTGCTCGCAGATGGAGAGGAGCTTCTCCCTGTGCAGGCGGCCGGGGCGGGCGACGCCGAGGCGCTCGCAGACCTCCTGCAGCTTCTCCTCCACCCACTGGGCCTGTTCAGCTGGAGAAGAGAAGGCTGAGAGGGGACCTGAGCAGTGTCTAGAAGTACCTCAAGGGAGGCAGTGAGGAGGATGGGGCCGGCCTCTTTTCACTGGTGGCCACCGACAGAACTAGAGGAAACGACCGGAAACCGAAACACCAAAAGTTCCACAGGAACTTAAGGAAAAATTTCTTGCCAGTGAGGGTGCCAGAGCCCTGGAACAGGCTGCCCAGAGAGGTTGTGGAGTCTCCTTCTCTGGAGATCTTCAAACCCGCTTGGACGCAGTCCTGTGCCACGTGCTCTAGGTGACCCTGCGTGTGCAGGGGGTTGGACTAGATGATCTCTAGAGGTCCCTTCCAACCTTGAGCATTCTGTGATTCTATGTTGTCCAGAGGTGGGGAGTCTCCATCCTTGGAGATAGTCCAGGCCCTTGGACATGGTCCTGGGCAAGCTGCGCTGGGTGACCCTGCTTGAGCAGGGGCTGGACTGGGCCATCTCCAGAGGTCCTGTCTGGAGCCACTCTCTGATGTTTGCCTTAACCCATGTGGCATGGAGCACAGCTTGTAATTTTAGGGTAGAAGGCACAGATGGAGAACGGCATCTCAGCCGCATGCTCCATCACCCACCCAGGTGCCTCCAGGCCAAGCTTGGACAAGGCTGCAGTTGACCCACAGCCCCAAGGCGCTTGAGACATCTGGAAGGCTGGCATTTGCCAAGGGCAGGATAGGGCAAACCATGTGCCAGCATGGAGCAGCTTTCAAGCAGGTCTCAGGCCCCTGAGCGAGGAGATTTAGGGTCTCTCCCTGGAACAACCCCTGTGTGAACCCTCCTGGAGCTGAGGGAGGAAACTAGGGATCAAATTGTGATGACATCTAGTGACCGCTGCGTCCTTCTACAGCTGGCCACCCTGCAACGCCCGTCCTGGCTGCAGTGGAAGCCTGGGACCATCCATAGCCACCCCTCACACCATCCTTAACCAGGGACCCTCCTTATTCCAACTGGGCAGATGGAGGAAACAGGTCCTTGCTCTTACCCTCGGCCTCATATTCCTCGCTGTCCCGCGTCTTCCAGTGCTGAGGAGAAAACAGAGGATCCCCACGTTATCCTGCAGCATTACCCATATGGAAGAGCCCACGATGGACATCAGCCGAGCTCCTGGGCTCCTGCTGCCTTTCACCCGGGTCTCCATGGGTGTTTTGGGGATGTTTGTGGCTCATGCAGCATTCCAGCCCCAGGGATCACAGCAGAGCCCTAAAACCTCGTGCGTGATGGAGATGCAGGTGGCCAGGAGACCGGTGGTAACAGGGGAAGGGGGTCGCTGCTTTTAAACCATCCAAGTGAGCCAGGGTGGCAAGAATGCCCGCGCGCCGCCGTGTCGAGGACACGGGCTCGTCCCCGCGGAGGGCGGCCGGGGTCCGAACGCAGCCGCCGCTGCCCGGTCCCCTTTCAGCAGGGCGGGCAGATGCTGCTCCGCGCTCGCGGCGCCGCTCCGCGTCACCGGCGGATTTCAGCTCAAAGTCACCCAGGACATAAAGGGGCTCTAAATCATCACATAAAAGTTCAGCGCGCCTCATTCAGCTTACTGCTAAAAGCCATTAATCTGCCCCGTTGCCATGGGAACTGGATTAGGTCATGCTAAGGTTTTTCTTTTTAAAGCTCTGCTCTTGGCTTCTGTTTCATCATACCCCGGCTGGCGGAACAGCAGCTCGGCGCCCGCGCATGCCCGCTGCTTCCCGCAGGGACCGCGGCCAGGGAAGCGCGTGCCCAGCACGGATGTGGGCAGCCACAGCGGGCACAGACCCCGTTGGACCCAGCAGCTTCTTCAGACAGGTTGTTTAGCCCTGGGCAAAGCCCAGATCACATCAAGCCCTGTGCGGAGCGACACGCTTGGGCCCAAGCGAGCGCCATCCCTGCGCTTCTGCAAGTGGCACCGCCACAGTGCCAGCGTGCCCCAGTTTCCCAATAAGCCATCGGAGAGGCTAAAGACACCCAAGCAGCAGGTCCCCTCCAAGGCCCACATGCAGGAGCAAATCAGCCCGTGTGCTCGGAGCGTGTCCCACGTTGTATCCCCTGCAACAGCTCACTCTGCCCCAAGAGAAGGGGATTCAGGGCAGGAGGAGCTGCGGTGTGTCCTGCTGTGTCCCCTTGCCCCGCCACCACGGGAGGGGGTCACACGTGGCCCGGCCGCGCACGGGGCCGCGCGTGCGGCGGGGGCGCCGGTGTCACGCGCCGCATTGTGGCTCCAGCTGCACGGGGGACACGGACGCAGGGATTTCGGGAATGCATTATCCGGCTGGGCGGGTGGCCGCCCGCGCGGCAGATGGCCGGGCCTTTCAATGCGCCCCGCGCCGAGGCCGGGGGAGCATCTGCAGCCCGCGCCGCTCGCTGGGGCCTCTGCCCATAATAACTTAGCAGCCTCTCCCTCCCTGCCATCTGCTCCAGCGCGACGGACCTTTGTTCCCCGCCAGAATATATGGCTAATTAAAATGGTGATCAGGAGCGCACCCCGGGTCTATTGAAGTAGACACATGGCGAGGTGATCCCTCGCACCCGTGTTTATGGCCCCGATTCTTTCCCCCCACCTCTGGCACACTTGCTGGGGGACTGGCACGCTCATCCAGCTGGGACACAGCTCCTGGGAAAGCAGCAGAGCCCCGCAGCACAAGGAGGCACCGTTCCCGGAGCCCTTGTATCCGGCACAGGACATCTCCCACAGCTGGAAATCTGTGCAAATCAGTGCAAATCAGCGCAGCCGCTTTGGGCCAGGCCCTGCTTGCTCCCTGGCTCTGCAAGGCGAGACGGCAGCGGGAGCCTCTCCAGCACGCCCGGGCCCTTCTGCTTGGCACGGGTTGAAAGCGACACCAATTAAGCGGGTGTCCCCGTTCCCAGGGCCTGGCAGGGCTCCCCGAGCCAGGGCAGAGCCGGCGACACGGGACGAGGCTGGGAAAAGGCCGGCGGTTTGTTGGGGCTGGAGCCTCCGGCGCCGCTGCCGTCTCAGCCCAAACGGGACCTC